GTGCTGGCCATTCAAGATCAGGTAGTAAACACTAATATCTATAGGCGATACATCATGAAACAGAGTATCAGTGGCAAGTGTCGCCAAGAAGCCCACCGAATCTATTCAACACATCTGCAGTGGATGTTCTCAGTTGGCACAAACAGATTATTTACATCATAATAATGTGACCAAAATCATCCACCAATGCCTTGCCAAATCGAATTTGATAAAGGCAAGTTGACCTTATTACATATATCTACTGGAGTAAGGTCTCCCTGACGAGAGAAAAAGAATCTTGGTGGAATCTGCCATTATTACATATAAAACTACGGAAGCAAATATGCCTGATATTGTCGTGTTCGACAAAACTACTCGCATGGCAATTATAATAGATATCGTAGTCCCATTACATCATAATCTGCTGTCAACAATTGCAGAAAAGAAAATACCAGCCACTCTCAATTGAACTGAAAAACCTATACAGCCTAATAGAGGTAGGTATTGTTACCCGTAGTTATTTCAACTAATGGACTTGTTGCTGAAAATTGGAAGATTGTGAAAGACAAACTCCATCTAATGAATGGCACTTTAGAACCATGCAGAAGACGGTGTAGCTGGCAACCACCAATATTGTGTGTAAGGTTCTCTCTCTTAGTCATTGAAGAGGAACCTGAGTGCACTGGAGCAAGAACGTCTCACCATCTGTCTCACCATATGTGTTGACTTTCTGTCCTTGGGTTATATCTGAAAACTCCGACGAGCGAAAAATTTTGAAAAACGGTGTAATATAATAATAATAATAATAATAATAATAATAATAATAATAATAATAATAATAATAATAATAAAAACCTTGTTCACTAGATATCTTTTCATTCTGAGCCGGATTTCGTAATATTGTGGTTAATAAATATATCAAGCAGTCATACCTTCCCCTCGTTTATTCAATATTAAAATTTTGACGTCCAGAGCATGCTGAACATAATCGCAGAAACATGAATGTCTGCTATAATGTCTATCTATAATATATATTATCTGCTATAAAGTCTTATGATCTGACGTTCACCTCCCCCTGTTCTCGCCCGACGTGCTAGTCTCTTTAGAGGAACGACATTCCTTCTACGAAGCCACGGCTGAGTGTTGCCTGGCGACAAAGACATGCGGTTACCAAGTTAGAAGAGCAGCGAGACTCGATATTTGAATGTCTTTTCCCGCCGCAGTAAGCTTCGTGACAATTCCTACAGATAGCAGCACATTACAGTAACACTAGCACTGCCGCTCGGACTTTGTGTGAAGAGCGGACAATTCAAAGAGTCGTGGAGGTGAAAAGTAAATCATAAAAACCATAAACTCCATTATGACATCGATATTTGTAAATATATTTTCATTAGGTTATTGAAAAAATGTTGGAAATAATGGAAAGATGAGAAAGTAGAGGAATAGAGCCTCCGATACTTTGAAAAATGTACAACCAATTGAGTATCTAAGATGATCAATAGTGTCGAGGAAGGTGAAGCCGGTGCTATGTCGGAGCTGGCGAGTGCGCTCCCCTATCAACAAATTTGTCTCGAATAAAGAATTGAAAGTAAATTCATCAATATCAGAAAAGTTCAAAGAAAAATCCAATTATCAAAGGCAATGTACACCTCGGGGTTCGTTTCAACAGCTCTGTGGAAATACAAAACAGAGAATCAGAAGAGTAGTTTGCAGATTCGCAGAGTTCGCCATTAGTGACAACTGAAGAAACAAGGGCAATAACAACGCCAGCAGCCATTACATCAATACAAATAAGAGCGAAGCAATTTCCACACCAAATGTAACAGAAATAATTATTGTTCCAAAAGTGCGAACAACCAAACGCATCGCAACCAACAGGTAGTACACACTAGTGGTGCTATAACAGCACCTAGTGGCTCTATGTTTTATTTGAAACACATTGTACGTTACATCATAATATTACAAATAATCCTACTAATTCTTGGGTCGAGTCATCTTGCGAAAGACTCCCTTCGGCAAACAAAGCGCTGGAGAGTGGAATTTTCAAAGATTGCAATTTAAGAAATTTCAGAGTTTTTAATGAAAATAATTCTTACACTATATTTTTAAGCGCTCTTCTCTCTCTTCGAGCAAAAACATCAAAGCAAGAAACCTGTCAATTACAATTTGAAAAGCTGTTTTCAGTCAAGAAACCAGGACCCACCAACGCCACGACTTCTACTTGGAAATAGGTTATTTTGAATGCAAGGAACGAAGGAAATATTCACATGGAAATTTTTGGCAATTTGAGAAACTCATCATTTGAAAAATTTCTGTTCACATTAAGTTATAAAATTAATAGGAGAAAAACTGCAAAATATAAAATACGTTTTGAAAATTCATGAGTTTTAATGAAAAGGGCATTTCGTCTACATAATTCAATATATTTTGCACTATCCTTAGAAGAAGATCAATAATAGGAGGAGACAATATTTAGAGCAGCTTTTGAAAAAATGTAAGTTTTGAAAAAAATGCCACGAATTAAATAAAAATTACGCGAAAACTACCAATATAAAAAAAAGAAACTATTGAAGAAATGATTAATACCCTGATACTTGAAAAATAATTTTATTTAAATATTAGTGGGACTACTTAATGCACATACTCTTTCGCATTATTTGTAATGGTTACATAAATATTATTTGTAATATGCTTGCATTCCTTTATAATATTATTTGAAACCGCAAGTGTTTCCATGCGGGAAAAAAATGTCCATACTGGGATTCGAACTCAGGTACTTAAGCTTTGCAAGTACCTAACTTAATCACCATTTCAATCGACAGAGTTGGCATATCAACGTGCCCGTCGATTCAAAAAGAAAGTTGAACATTTGCAATTTTAAAAAAAATCAGAGATTTCTAAGAAAATCATACATACGTCAATTTTAAACGCGTACTTTGCTATTTTCGAGAAAGAAATAAAAAATTGAAGCCTTTGAGAAAATATTAAAATGTCGTTCAAGCTTCATGTAACGTACCAAAACAAATAAATAAATATAAAGGATTATGGTAAATGGAATTTTGCGTGATAGCTACCCCTCTTTGAACAGAGGCTTCACACAGCCCAGAAACGGGATCAATGACCTCCGAATAATATTAAACCTCTAGATGTCATCAATATGTATGCGGACGATTGTAACTTGAGCATAAGTAAATGTATTATTGTAAAAGATATAACATAAAGGCACAAAACATCTTGGACGAAGTTGTGGAATTTTTACGGAAAATTGGACTCGAGATTTCTATTGGAACATATTTTACTAAGAGAATATAGTTTTCGAGTTATAAGCAAAAAACTGTGAACTAGTATGAACTAGTGAAAAACAATATTTGTAACGCTATGCAATAATATAATAAGATTTGAACGTCAAAAGTGTTTTCAACCACCAAACGTGTTTTCCGACGCTGGGATTCGAAATCAGGTTCTTGGTTTAGTACATCGTTCACGTTACTCCAAAACCACCAGCCTTCCAGGCAATCTCGACCTTCCCGACTCCTTTAAATACGAAGTTGAACATTTGCACTTGCAATTTTCCAAAATTCAGTATTTCAGTCTGCCTCCATATTATTGATAGGATATACTCGTAATAACCTCTTGAAGCCCTTTTTAGGCGCATCTTATAATATGCTTCCATAGTCCAATTCGGACCTAAATATTGCCTGATAGGTTCCTCTAATTACTAAATAGTCAGCTCCCCAGGATGTGTTGCTGTTAACTTCGGCATGAATCATTCGTTTGACGCACTCAGTTTTCAAGTTCGTTATGGGTAGAATCCATGTTAATTTCTTATTAAAACATTAAGAAAACTTGCGGTTCCTTAAAATGCCTCCTTGCAGAGGAAAACTGACACATCTAAAAAATGTCATGTTAAAGGAAAAATTTGTTGACCTGATGCTGACCCGATCCATTTATTTCGCAGCCGAAGACAATGTGTTTTTCTCTAGATACCCTCTGTCTTGCTAAATATCTCTAGAAATTTCAGGTAGAAATATACTATTTTCTATATATATATATATATATATATATATATATATATATATATATATACACACACTTAAATAAATAACCGACTATTTTTGAGATTTGTCACTTTTCTTGTGCGCAGATGCACAAACATTTTATAGCAAATTCATGCATCAGAATTCATTACGCTTGCGTCGTAGTGCTCTGGCGGATAACAGGCGAGGAGTGAACAATCCCCGAGTGAACTTCGTCGGCGCTTGCGAAACTTAATCCGGGGGAAAAGTAAACAATGGTGTTTATTTATGATTGAGAATAAGTAACTAGCAGATTTAATTCATGCATTCAAATAGTTTACTTCGAGAATCAGAAAGGGCTGTTGTATTTGTTAAGCTTATTCCCGTTCTAATTAAATTATTGTACTCGATTACGTATAACACATTTCTAGGAAAAGTCAACCTTCCATTATTTTCCATGAGTTTGCTAGTTGCAGAAACAATGTCGACATTACAGAAATACAATTTCAGTATAGAATACAAAGTATAACAAATACAAAACAAACATGTTGCGAAACTTAGCAATGGTATTTGTAACTACATTGGTATTAGTAACTAATTACGATATTTCTTCACTTGGCTAAAAAAATTAACGATTTTTTAAAAATGCGTCACTTTTCTTGTGCATCGAGAGCATAACATTAGTACTAAAAAAGGGTTTCTAGAAAAAGCCGATTTTCAATTGTATTAAGCTAATTCGCTAGTCCCCAAAACAATGTCGACATATCCTGGGGGCTAGAAAAAAAAAACTTGCATAACTGAGCCGCGGTGTTCGTAACTCCTTTGGCGCGAGTGGCCAGTCTTTTGTTGTTAGAATCGATTCCACGCCGCAGTGCGCATGCTCTCCGCCATTCGATTTGTGACGGCGGCAAAGCGCGGCCGGCGCCGGGAGCAGTCTTGAAGAGCGCGCGCTGGGCACGGCGGAAGGCGCCGGCGACCACGGCACCCACGGCTCTTGGACGTCGCGATTCTGCAGGCTGCTCTTGCGGACCGTCTAGGCGACGGGAGGGGAAATAGCCTTCGACTTGGCTTCGCGCATTCGAGCGACTGTGGTCATGTAGAGGTAAGGTCGTTTTTATTGCCTAAAATATTGTTTATTCCGGTAAAAGAAATTCTTGTACAGGTGTGGATGTTATCTGAAAGCGGTCTTGAAAAAAGACGCTTCTTTACATTTCAGAATTCGCCGACAGTTGCATTATCTATTTTATTATGCAGAGAAGAGGTTTCTAGATCAAAATAGACTTTCGTATGTCATAAAATTTCTAATTATTTGAACAATTTGAATAATTAACAACTTATAGTTTTACGAGTTCATCACAAAAGTAACGCATTTACTACTTCTATTTACTTTACGCAATACGGACTTTCTGCTGCCTAAAATGTCATGTATATCAATGATGTGCAAACATTAAAGAAAAATTTAAATTGACGAGTTATCATCACTTGATATTCCTCGTAGTTGCAACATTAGGGGCGATCAAGTTCGCAACCCTCGTGACGGAAACCACAAGTCAGTCTAAATTAATATTGCAGTATTTTATGTCATTTTATTGAAAAATACAGTGTATTCATGTCTTGTATAGTAATTACATTTTAAAATGTTTACTATTTTCTTTTCTAACATAAAATAAAAGTCATTAAGTCGCTTTGTAGATGTAAATATTTGAAACACATTTGAAATCGGTTTTAACAAGTGAATGAGAGTGACAACCTCATTTGCTTTGAAGTCCTCACTATTTAAGAAATAAAAGTTATAATTAGGTTTAACTTTTTAATTTAGGTTTAAATTTGTTTGACCGCGAAGCAAAATCTAGTAATAGCAATTGTGATCCATGAACATTTGAGAACCGATATATTCTACGAACATATTAAATTGTTTACACGAGTCAAGTATAGTCAATGAATGATGCAAAATTTCCCGTGCAAATGTTTAATAGCGGAGGGGCTCTTCTTTGGAGCCTTGCTGCCGCACAACGCCAGGTGCTTCGTAAGCAGTGATGCACTGAGTACGAGAATTCAGTCGGTACGCGCAGTCTGAAAATAGGCGAAATAACATTCTCAAATATTTGCATTTTTCAATTGAAATCGATGCTGTTTTTATCGAAGCATTATTTGTTTTATTTTTCCTGGGTTCCTAGGTATCTAACGAAACCACAGACACTTCACAAAAGGCCGAAAACTGCATAGTTTTGTTTCACTGTCTGCGCGCACTGTAATAAAGAAGTTTTTGTATTGTACCCGAGTTCCTGTGTATCTAACGAAACCAATGACACCTCTCAAATAGGCCTGTCAAAAAGGTGGCGACTATAGTTTTCTTTCAATTTCTTCGCGCATTGGGAACTAATAATATAGAAGAATATTCGCCACATTTTCACTTTTGTTAAAAACAGAAACACATAGTACTGATTCTGTAATGCTTTTGCTGGTGAAGTAAAGAGCAGTACGGAAGCATCTCTCAAGAAATGGTAAAATGTATAGATTTTACAACTATTTGACTGCAGGTTCTTCATTTTCTGTTTCGTATTTTACAATCCTTAACATTGCTCATCCCATTAGAGTTTTGTCTCATAATTCAATAACCATTTCAAAAAACGTGCGCAGATAATCTTTTCCCCCCTACATCACATACAATTTTTACTGTTTTTTTTTGGACTGAATAAATCTCTTCTAATTTCAGTTTTTCTAACACTAGGATGAATTCTCATCATATTTTTTGTGATGTAGTTTTATTATGTTAAATAGAATCTGCAATATTCGGAACGACGATAAGTAAGTGTGTCTAGGAAAAATTGAAAACCCCATATGCTTAAAAAATAGCTCAATTGGCATAATTTACAATGTTACAATGTACTACATAAGAAGCAATACGCACAAAATTAATGTACATTACAATTTAATTTTATTTAAATATTCAGTTATTTTTTGTTTTATTTGTATCCGTCTTCTCATTTCGGTCCTCATCCGTGATGAATGTATCATCCATCAAAATAAACGATTAAATCATCCCGTGGTAGCTGGTTTGAGTTTTGTCACATTTTTTCAATTAATGTTTAATAATTTTCATTATGAACAGACCTCAGATAAATGAATTTCCATTTAATCGAAGTCCGAATAAATGAGGTTCCACTCGTATTTTATTAAAACTTTTTAACAGCTCTTCTCTGGGCTTGGTGCATTCGCCTATGAATCCACTCACGTGAGATGACTGAATCTATCATTATCGTTTAGTAATTCTCGGTTTGTGAACGTAACATCGGTGGTTGAAGTCAAGGCCGTTGCAACGCTGGTACAACTGGGGCCCTCGTCCTCAGAATCCAGCGCCCCGAATGAGGACCACCAAGAAGGGGATTCCGTTTCAATCCTTCAAAGCATCCCGGAGTAAAAAAAAATCTTGTCAACCGAAAAAATGACATGTCAACTGAATACTCAACGTTATTCCTTATTATTTCTGCAATGACGTAAGAGATACTTTCTAAGAAATGCAACAAAGAAAATACCTTTTTGGCAGGACAGTAGTTGAGTGAGTAGGGGGAGGGGAGATTCAGAGCGCTAAGACACTCGCCCACCCACAGACCTTATTCTGAAAATAAATTTGCAAAATTTTCGATCCACGAATTGTGTTTCAAAATGAGACGTCCATGAGGATGGGGATATTGATGGCGTAATATGGAGAATGATTTCATCGCCTTCTATGCACTATAAAGCTAAAATGACACTAATCAATAGCAGATACAAGTATGTATTAAATACGTATTCAGTGATGCCTCAGATGCTAATGCCATCTTCGCATTTTACATTGTAAATCCAAATACAAATAAAACAGCGGCCATCGTAAGGCTCAGATTATTACAATTGCGTATTTCTTCTGCTAAGTCGCGACAGTCTGAAGTTCTGTTTCCGAATATATGTCCCTATAATTATTGCTTATTTCGAAATTTTATTTGGCACATTTGAAGATAAATAAATAAAAAAAGCTTATTTCGGGGTTATACTGAATTGGATTGCAGATTTTACGATTCAAAAACCACTGGAAGTCATTTTTTGGGTTGAAATTTTTTCCCCTTCTGTGATATTTCCCCCTCTCGGTAAAATTATGTTAATGGAGAATATCATGTTGCTCATGCTATGACTCTTCTCTCGAATGTATCTTTTTCCTCCTTCATTCTCATGGAGACGTTGCAACAATGCATTAATTGTCTCTTCCGTGTATTAATTTTTGGATTGGATGACTAACATTTTAGATAAATAAAAACATGAATCAAACCACAAAAACGTGTATCTAATTGTTTGATCGTGATTGATTGATGGTTTTTCAAATTTGTAAAACCAAATATTACATTATGCAAAATAGTTTATGTATGGGTAAATCTAATTTATAATAGTATGCGATCCAAAATAAATTAGCTTTAGAACCACTGTCACATTTGGACTTTCTGCATCGGAACCTCCAAGAACTCCGCCTCTGAACGAAGTAAATATCTAATTACGTAAAGAAATTCTAGACCTATTTTCTACATATGTGGTGTTTTTATCTTAAAGCAAACATATCTCGGTGGGATGTAACAGAATAATGTGTACGCTCTCTTAGACAATAGAAGTCTGCGGAAATCCGTGCAATGGTCCGCGGATTCGTGACGTATTTTGAAGAATAAAATACATCAAAGTGAAAGAGATAAAATGTCTAACGCTCGTTTTCAACTTCCTGCTTCCCGTGGTAGAGAAGAAAGTTGTGTAATATGTAACAATGCAAATATTTGGACGGAAATATGCTTTTTCAGTAATCCCTGTTACCGACAAACTATCGTTTTTAAAGAACATGTCTCTTCATCCCCTCAGTGAACAACACGAGCGCGTTAACCGTATTCAGTATTTTCCCCCACAATGGATATTACCTAATTGATCTGTCGTTATTCATGGCCCGCGAATTTGAAGCGGATCTTTTAATTTTGAGAAGTACTATTCATGAAGCCCCTGTAACATACAATTTTACAAAAATATACCCAATTTTTTTTCTTTCAATTTCTTCCTCGAATAAGCAAAACTGCGCTGTATTCAATTTTAATAAAAACTTCTTTAATTTTTAAAAATTGCAAAATTTTAATTTTTTTTGAACCTGTCTTACACCTTTATGTTCGCTTAATGCAAACTTCTCATTCATTTCATAGTCTTCAAATTATTTCTAGTATATTTTTCCAAAATATTCATAGTTTTCGCGAAATTGTTCAATAAAAAAGAATACTTTATGTAAATGTAATGTTCACAAAATAAGGGAAGTACAGATTTAATTTACTGAGTTGGAGCGAAATCTCCACGGGATTACTTAGAAATCTACGATCTACGATCTACGATCTTGCAAATTAGGCAATATACAATTGCAAAAATGAGCTAAGTTCACCATCTGATTCAAAATATGGTTTTACGTTTGTTACATGTGAAAACGCATCATATCCACTGTTAATATATACTGTGTAATTGTCATTCTTAACTTCGAATAAGATTTGGCAATTTCAAACAACATGCGCGCGCTGAATAGCTGATGTAGATGTGGTCTTTTGGAAATAACCGATCCAACGTGAAAGCTGATATCTAAGCGGTAAAATACTCGGCTTATTTCCAGTTCCTTTATGCAAATTAGAGTACGTACCCTACGGATGATTTTCGTTCTGAACCCTAAAGCTGGGTAGTTGGTGAATCAGCCGTTGGTGGCATCTGGTGAATTCCGTTCACCAGACAAGCTTTTTGTTCTCTCATTCTTGGAAAGTTCAACAATACACCGTGCCACAATTAGTACCTTTCTACCAACATCGGCTAGTGACTGCCGTGTTGTTCTATACTGTTATAAGATACAGGAGTTCAGTTTTCAATCTTTATTTTCTCATAGGCTGTAATGTGTGGTCAAAATTCACCACGCGCTTGGACATACAAGTGAAATATTTAGGTGGATCGATTTTATGTCATTAATTACATGTATATATTGAAAGTCTCTTTTAGACATAAAACTAAACATTTGCGATTTTAAATCCCATAAAAACGTACAGCGAGAACATTGTAGCGGGCAAGTAA